TAGTCGCTTTCTGATTCAATCTCTTTTTCAAAATTGGAACATGAAGGTTTAGAAATTCCCGCAATTTGTAATTGAGCTGAGTCATCATGTGGAACATTTATGAGTTGATTGCTACTTACAGAAGTTTCTCCAGTAGTAGTAGTAAAATATGATGTTAATTTTGGTAACTTTTCAATTACTTCTTTCTGATGTAGAGCTTTTTTCCTTTTTTCAGATCCACTAGGATATGACCGTTTCGACATTTTATATTATAATTCACTATTTAATTAATTTTATAACGAAAATATTCGCTAACACAAAACAGACAAAACGACGATTTAATCAAACAATACTATTTTTTTTATCAGAGCTCGAGCACAGTCAGTAACAAACTAACAACTACAAACAAAACAAACGCCACAACATCGCAGACAAATACTTGAAGGGAATTCCCGTTCGTCAAGTCAAACGACGATCGGGAATCGGGAATTCCCCTTTTTTGTCTTTGGTATTACGAATGACGTTCGAATAGGTTTCTTTAAGACATAAACCACACCGCATCAAATAATTCTTTTTTTAATTTAATAATTTTTTTTTAAATTGTATTCTTATACTTACATATAGGTATTTAAATTAACCTAAACATACTAATATCGGAAAAACTCATTTTTGAGAGAGAGTGGAGTATTATACCCTGTTTATTTATTAGTTTGATCTTTCTTTTTGACAGATGTCAAATCTGAAATCGATATAACTTTGCAACGACGAACAATATCTTCTTATTTTAATAATATTAAAAATTGATAATAATCATAAGAATAGACACACAACATAAAAGTACCTGTTAAGGACTCAAGCATTTTCCGAAAGTCTTAAGTGGTTTTTATTGCTTCGAGGTAAAATTTAAATAGAAAAACTGAAAACAATGGTTTCTTACCTACCCAATGTTTTTATGTCTAGTGCAATAAAATTGATTGACGAATGAATTTATTTATTTTGAATAGTTTAAAACATACATACAGCCACATATTTAGCCAACACATTTTTTACACCAATAGATATTTTCTGTTTCCCATCACTGACCCATCTGTCAAAAAGTTCAAGCTATGTTGTACAAGGTATAGCTATCCGCATGCGGCAAACTAAAGCTAATATAATAAGCGTAGGTATTGTAGTAAGTCATTATCATCAGATTTTTCAAAATTAATGTTTTTCGGTAATAATGTATCGGTTATCATTTGGTAATCTGGCAGGAACTAGGGGGCCCCATTCGATCGCGGGGCCCTGGGCACGTGCCCATAGTGCCCAGTGGGGAAGAGGGGCCTGGATGCACATGTGGACTCGCAAGTTTTTAATCAAACATGTAAAATGATTAGAGCTTTCATACGCTACCGACCGACGGTACGCATAAATGGATAGTGGTTGAATGAATTGTGAAAACGTTGAATAGAACGATGTGAAAAGCACGCTTTTGCATAATACATGGCGAAAATAGACATGGTAAAGAAAAAAATCTCCTTTTCGAAAATGGAAAATTAGGCACTTTTTAATAACGAAAAACGAAAATCGAAAATAAGCACCTTTAAGCACTTTTTAAAAACGCTACGCACCATGTTATACTCTTAATTAATGCCAACGATCTTTTTAAAATTATGAATTAACAGAAAATCACACTTTTTACGAATGAACGTACATTTGTTAACGGTTTTGGTTTTCAAATCATTTCTGTATTATGGATTTTTTTCCCCCGAGTTTTAAAATTGAGTGATGGAACCGTAATTATTGGCCAGGATACCTTAGTTGACAGGGCTCTGGACTCAGGTTCGTGAGAACGGCAGTTCGAATCCAGCCGGCCGAAGACTCTCCACGGGTAGTAAATAGGGACTGGTGCACGTTAAATCTTTCGGGTCACAAAACCCTCCATGTTCCCATAACAAATTATACCTCTGGTAGTACTGGATTGGAGATTGATCCTTCTCTGGTTCAGGTCAAAATTACGATCTGTTGATGAATGAATGGATGCATGAATATATCCGCCCAATAAACGAGTGCGACGTATGGGTGTGACTGAAGTCGAATTCTTGGTTACAGCAATCGCACCCCCTGTGCCTTAATGGCCTACAACAACAACCGTAATTGCTCAGTGGTTAAAGGCACTGAACTTGGCTCAGGACGATTGTAAGTGAATTGAAAACAACAGGATAGATATACTTGATCCAAAAATAGATTTAAGGACAGGGTGTGAATTTAAAAGTGTGAGAAAGCATTTCGATTAGAATAATAAAATAAAAGAAAAGGATTAACATAAAAAGATGAGTTGAAGCTTGAGGGATCAATTCATTTTACTCTTTTTGTTATTAACTTTCTTCAAAGAATCACATTAGTTGTAAGAGAAAATAAATTCTAGTATCTTAACAACTGGACCCATATTGGAGAGAAAACCAGCATTTCCATCCTAAACAAATTAAAACTCTTGTTCCTTTCAGCATAATATTCACCGGCAGTGGATTCCAGGGAGCGTAGCCAAATTATTCAACTAAAAATAAGCACCTTTTAAGCACTCAAAAAATATTTTAAAGCACTTTAAAAAAATATTATAACTAGACAGGGTTGGAAAGTTTTTGACAATTGACGGTTTTATCTTGTTTTAACCGTCATGTGTAAAAAGAAAAAAAAACCATTTCGGCATTGTTTTTGACAATTGTCAAAAATCATGAATTATGCAAAACGAATGGCGTTTTAATACGCTACGGACTGACAATATAGAAAATAGATTGAAATACAGTACACTCTCTATTATCCGTGCTCATTCCAGGGTCACACGAAAAATATAAAGAGAAACATTTTCAGGATTAAAAAAATTTGATCCGTGAAGTTATAACACTACCAAATTTTTGGAAGCAATATTCGTTATTGGATTGCAGTATATGGAATATCAGTAGCATGGTCAAAGGTAAAATCGTCTACATTATCACGATCTTGGAGAAGGATCATATCGCTTGATGAACAATCTTCTTCAGATGTTCAAGAAAAATATGATAACAGTATTCTCGAACAAGCAAAAAAATCTAAGGTTTCGAAATTCTTGATGAAGAAAATTTCGAAGATTGGTTTCAAAGTGATGCATGTGAGCCTGACTTCCAGCATTTGACAAATGAAGACATCGTTATGTTGTTAAATCAAATAGTGATGATAGTAACTGATGCAGAAGATATAGTAAATGAAGGAAATACAATTTCTCATTCTGCTGCTCTGTGGAAACTTTATTAGATTATATGGGAGGATTTGATTACGGTAACATTACTGCGGTTCGTAAAATATGTGTATCGATATATGGCGAAGACGCATTACACATTTTTTAAAAGGAAAATTCCTAGTTTGATGTTATACAGCATGCAAATGTCAGTAATTTTTATATTTTTTGTACTGATATTGATTTTTTCTTAAATAAAAGGAGTTTCGGATTATCCGTGTCTTTCGATTGTCCCTGTGACCTGTCCCGGTGATTAACCCGGATAAACGGGAGTGCACTGTAGATTGGGATTGAATTAATTGTGAAAACGTTGAATGGAACAATCTGAACTGTATCTTTTTGCACAATTCGAGGCAAAAATCAACATAATGAAGGAAAAAATCTCATTTTGAAAAAAGGGAAAATTAAGCACTTTTTAAAAACACCCAATGAAAAAAGCACCTTTAAGGGCTTTTAAAAAACGAAAATCAAAAATAAGCACTTTTTAAAAACGCTATGCACCCTGGATTCCTTCTCACATCGGTCTCTATGGCAACGACTTAGCAGCCAGCCGCACCCTACCTCTTCTGATCTCATCTATCTTGAACTTCACTCCCTAAAGAAATCCTAGCGTCTCAGGGACTGGCTGTCCCCCCCCCCCACACCATTGGTACAAAGGAAATAAGCCTGGAGTTTCTTCCACTCTTCTCTATGAAAGGTAGAGTCTGCACCACCCTCTCCAACCTAACTACCGGCCATCTAAAAGGTTTACTATTTTTCTGAAAGAACTAAAACCTACCCCCTCTGCCCTAAATGCCATCTACACCGGGCTTCTGCCGATCATATCCTGGACTGTCTTGGTCTCCTCTGGAAAGACATCTACTCTACTCTACTCCTCTTTTGGTCTTAGATTTCATTCAGGCCAACGGGTTCATAGATCTGGTCTGACTTCGTCAGGCCAGAAGAGGATAAGCAACAACAACATAAATTCTAGTTCTCGGTAGAAATCGTTTAAAACATACAGATATTTAGGACAAGGCATAAGCGTGACATTTCGATGATTTTTATACTTAAATTTAAAACAAAAATAAACACGTTAGTATAATATAATATTAGAAATATAATGTAAAAGGAGTATAAGAATTCGGCTTGTGAATAAAGGAATGTTTTAATTGTTCAAAACTTGACTAAAATATTGATTCAGTTGCTGTTGTTGTAGTTCATTTACATCGCACTAAAGCTCCCCGAGGATGATCCGAAGACATGCCATCACAATTTTGATCCTCTGCAGAGGGGATGGCACCCCCAGCTTCGGTAGCCCGACGACCTGCACGAGAAGTCGAGAACTTTAAGGTAGAACAGTTTCACTAGGACCAATACCGCACACCCTCGGTCCCTACGCAGACTAATCCAAATGGTCACCCACCCGCACACTGACCGCAGCTAGTGATGCTTGACTTCGGTGATCTGCTGGGAACCGCGTCTTAACGACCAGTCTACTGAGGGACAATATTGATTCAGAACACTTATAATCCCTAATTTGTTGAATCACCCATATACACTTAGGAGCCAAAAGTCATGGGATACCTGATAATATAGTATGGCTAATTTTAAGTTCTGCATATAAAAACATTAATTTATCAGGTATGCCATCAATATTGCCTTTTTTACGTAGGAGTGATTTTAAACAATGGTCAATTTTGGTCATGTAAACATTAACATTTAAAGATTTCGTAATAAATCCTATGTTAAACTATAACTCATTTAAAATAATTCAGGCAAACCAGAATTTACATTTCATAAAATAGTTTATTCAACTCTATTCCAAGCTCTGTTGTCACAGTTTATTTCATAAAAATATCATTTCTTACAATCAATAGTTACATTCAAAGCTTATTCAAAACACATTTAAAACTTGTTATTCAAACCATTTTCAATGTAAATATACATTCTATTTATTTTTTTAGACAACTTATGCAAAATACTTGTTCAGCCATAAGATATGTTTTGTAGAAAAGCCATCATGTTAATTTTATATATTTTTTGGTTTGAATTTTATATGAAAAGGTTTGTTTAGTTCATGTATTTAACAGTATATAAAAATATTGTCAATAAAAATTTCACATAGAGTAGCAAATACAAGAATCTTGTTATTTATTATGTTTTTACTTTGTACCAAATTTCCTGAAGTATAAATATGAAAGAAAAACAATCCTATTTATGAATGATTCCTTTGACCAATTTCTGAGTTCAAATTCATTAACAAATATTCATCTTCATTATTACAGTACTGATTTTAGAATGCAAACAAACAAGTTTATTTTCCATAAAACAATGCTAAAGCCAAAAATTAATTTTTATTGTTAAAAGAAAATGCTTAAAAAGCAATACATTTTCAAATATTCTCTTTTAAATTACTAAAAATTAAGATTTTTCAAGTTTACACCTTAACATTTTCATCTATGCATTATTGTCCAATTTATGATTTATTTATATCAAAAACTTTAAAAGAAAAACCAAAAAAATTCGATGTTTTAACTTTAATTTTTATATATTTTGATATTAATTCATAATGCATTGTGAAATGGTAAACAATTGAAAGATCTTCACAATTCCAAAATCTGCTTGACAATGGTATGAAGATTTGAGAATTTACTCTAACTTTTGTATGTTAAATAATTTCTTTTTATATTGAAAAAGAATATGTTCTAAAATGTTTTGAAATATTCAAAAAAATAAATAAAATTTGGCAATTGATGAAACATTCAAAAATTTCTCAAGACAAGAAAAAAGATACAAAGCCGCAACTTAATTAATAACCAAGGTCATTTCCTTGTGCAGATTCTCAGAATTTTTTTTAAATATTATTCAATAAGTTAACATGCTTATATAACTAAAGACATATTCTAAAGAGTCAAAAGATATAAGAAAAAACAATTTCAATCAAGATTTCACAAAACAAAAAAAAATACTGTTACATGCAGTTAAGCAAACATTAAATATAATATTAAAAATTAGTTTTATCTATCCTTTCAGAACTTAATAGAAAATTTTAGAACTTAAAATTTCAAAATCTTAAAACAGAGTATCTAACTTGATAGAATATAAAATATTTTGCATGTAAAAACATATGCTTTAATATAATTTACAGATAATCTCTATAAAGCTTTTCAGAAGCAACTAAAAAACAAAAATTCGTAAAACAGATTGAGTATTTATCTTATTTAAGCTTTAAAAAAAAATCAAATCCTCAAAGAAGTTTAACAATTACTTAAATGATCTTTATATAAAAATGTGAAACAGAAATTTTGTAAAAGTATAAAACAATTTTTAATACAGTATTTTTCCTATAAATAAATGCATAAAATATAATCAAGTTATCAAAAGTAACAATATTTCACCAAGAGAAAAGTTCATAGTTCTTTAAAATCTTAATTTTCAATACAACATCAGTTTCCTTTCAAAAAACTAAAGAAAAAAATTAAATATTTTTCTAAATCTGTACATTATATACAATCAATTTTATACAAAATCTGCAATCTACCAATAAATTATAATATAATGAAATAAGGTACTTAATCTTTGGCAGCATTTTTGATAATTAAATCTAAACTCATGAAAATTATTTTTAAAAAAATGTCACAAATAAAAGAACATAAAAATTTCAAACAAATTTAAATAAAAGCTTAAAAGTTATCAATCATCACCCATCTTAGGCTGGTTATATATAGTTTTGTTCACAAAAATACTTCGTTTGGCTCCGTTTCAATAAATTCCTATAAAGAAAAACCACATTAAATATAGATATTAACATAAATTACATACACAAAGCTATATTATCAAATACACAAAATATTGTGACAGAATCAAATATTACTATCTCTACGCTACCAATTTCAGAAAAATATCACAGATATTTGCAAACACATCCAAAGCAACTTTATACATAATCTTAGTTGCAAACACATCCAAAGCAACTTTAGGATATATAATCTTCACATCCAAAGCAACTTTAGGATATATAATCTTCACATCCAAAGCAACTTTATATATATAATCTTCACATCCAAAGCAACTTTATATATATAATCTGCATATCCAAAGCAACTTTATATAATCTTCACATCCAAAGCAACTTTATATATATAATCTGCATATCCAAAGCAACTTTAGGATATATAATCTTCACATCCAAAGCAACTTTAGGATATATAATCTTCACATCCAAAGCAACTTTAGGATATATAAGCATCACATCCAAAGCAACTTTAGGATATATAATCTTCACAGAAAAAGCAACTTTATATATAATCTTGCTAGGTGTGGGGAAAAACAAAGTGTTTGACAAGGATAAGCCTCTTAGAGGATTATAGAAAAAAATCAGAACAAGAACATTTTCCAAAAAGAAAAACAGAAGATTTTCTGGAACTGTATGCACATCCTAAGTACTAATAAAAAGGCTAAACTTAATAAAAAATTTATAGTTTACTCTACTTAAGTAGAATAAAGACTAATTTTATTTTTAATTTCAAAATTATTTTGTTTAGAAAATAAAATGTTAAGTTTCCAGTGCAATTTTTTTTAATAGACCAATTGTCAATATATTGAGGACAATATATTTACAATGTCGGTTTGTCTCTTTATTCATTCTCTAATATTTACAACTTCATAATATAAACTTTCAACATATTTAATCATCCATTTTATTTAATTTTATCTCTGTCGTTGAATGTCTGACTCAATTTTGAGTTGAAGACTATTAATTTTAAACTCCATATCCTTATAATTCTGAACCCAATCCAGAAGACAAGAAAACTCCAGAATTAAGTATTAGAAGATCTGCCTTTGTGGAGGACTTTTTAATGGAACTAACCCGCATTTGCCTAACATGTAGAGGCAGACCGCGAAAACTTCCATGATAAGCCTGACAGCAAGGATACTCTAACCCATGCTCCATCTACCACTGTAGATAAATTACGTCAGCACTATAGTCAGTGCGAGCCAGATGCGGAAATTGCATTGATCAGCCATCACTAGAATTCAAACCTGGGTCACTTCATTGGGAGTTATTTATCCATTTAACTATAGATAACAATGATAAAACAATAGGTGAAAAATAAGAGGCATGCAAGATTGGCCAAACAGCCCAATGTGAGCATTGGGTTGTCTTCATTATTCATAATTAATTCATGATATTACATTCGGTATGTAAATAAACCAGGGCTTGAAAAATCACCCGTCCGTCCGGTCCTCGGTGGTCAAAAATTCCCCGTAGACAACGAATTTCTCGAATCCGACATACATGCGGACGGCCATTTTCCGGTTAATATTGGTGATACATTTTCAATTTTCATTATCTTACAATAGTCTAGAGCATAGGTTCCCAAAGTGGTCCAGGTGCACCCCCAGGGGTCCGTAGGAGACCACACGGGGGTCCACGTAGACGTGAAAAGAAAACAGGGGTTCACAAGTTGCAAATGGGGGTCCACGAAAAATTTTCTGGTTTTCATAATAAAGAACAAAACTTTTGGCTTGGATTTACCTTAAAAACTTTGCAAAAACTTTGAAGTCGGACACTAAAGGCGAATCGATAGTCCTGAGTGATTTTTTTTTACAGAAAAATCTATTCCATTTACAAATATAATTTCGGTGGCAGCAGATGGAGCTCCTGCCATGTTCGGGTGATATCGTGGGTTTATAAGCTATCTTAAAAGAATAATACCAGGACTAATTGCAATTCACTGTGTCATCCACCGACAACACCTTGTAGCGAAAAATTTGAGTGATAGATTGCCCCAATCGCCTCAATTTATGATTAACGCAGTTAATAAAATAAGAAGCAATGTTTTGAATACCCGTTTATTTGCACTATTGTGCGATGAAAATGATGAAGATTTCCAACGACTACTCTTGCATACTGAAGTACGCTGGTTGTCGAAAGGTGCATGCTTATCGAGATTTTATTCACTTTTCGAATCAGTGATAGAGTGTCTGGAAACTAAAACACCAGATTTAAAAGAAAATCTGATCAAATATAAAGCGGATATTGCGTACTTAACAGATTTATTCATAAAATTCAATGACGTTAACTTGCAGTTACAAGTGGACAGCCTTAATTTAATAAAAACAAAGGGGGTAATTTCGGCTTTTCTTGGTAAATTGAAATTAGCACCAACGAGGAACTAACTGAAGGTGGAATTTAAAAAAGGCTATCAAACATTTTGGCTGCAGGCAGAAATCCCCGAAAAATATCCTGAGCTATGGGAAATTGCGAGAAAATTTTTGATAGCGTTTCCCTCGTCATATCTTGTCGAAAGAAGTTTCAGTGCCGTTACCAACCTGCTGTTAACAAAAAAA